AAAAGCCTTACCTTACCTCCAGTCTTAGGCAACCACTGGTCTGTTTAAAAAAAAAGTACATGGATATCTACATTTACATCTATAATAAAGTTGCCAAGAACTTCACGATGGAGAAATTAAAGACTTGTGTAGGTATGCTCATGTTTAGACAAAATTTTTAAAAATTATAATTTGTGAATTTATACTTGTGATTATACAAATGGAAAAATTACCAGGTCTTTCAGTATTTCAGGGCTGTTTCAGCATAGCTGATTCTTTAGAAAAATAGTTTTGCTATTTAATAACTGATGTGTTGCCTATTTTATTCATCTTATTTTTTTTAACTAGGATTAAAAACTTAACGTCTAATGGCCACCATGGTAAAATATGTAGGGAATGTGAAAGCAGCAGACAGGGGGTTTGGTGCTTGGGCTTACACTCCTAACAAAATGAGTGTTGCCTTTTTAGTAATAATAATCCTGTCCATCTTTGAAACTTCTGCACCTAGAAAAGTGAGGTAATTAGGTACCTCAAAAAATGGTTTTTAAATAAATGAATGCCTAGGCTTTCTTTACTTACTTACATGATCAAAATGAGTGTATTATCCATTCTCAAGAACAATTTAATTGCAGACAATCCTTCAGAACCTAGCTAACAACTAAAATATCTAAGTTACAGAATAGTATGAAGACTATTTGCCATCCTGAAAAACAAGTACTAGGAAAGAGCTAAGTATGTGCAGAAAAATAAAATTAGAATGAAGTCTTCAGATATATCTCTTCAGCCTTGCTCAGATTCAACCCCGCCCCCCCAAAGTGCCACCTTGTGGAATATACTGGAATAAAACAAAACTCAAGATAGTGTGAATTTTAAAACAGACCTTTGCACCGCTTTTTCCTACCATATTAACTTCCAGTTGCAGTAATACAATTGAAATTGATGCTTGGAAAAAGCCAATACTTATTTTCAGGTGGCTCTTGTTTTCTTCTTGAAGGCCAGAGCACCAGTATCAAGGAAACAAGCATGTTGGTGGAAGTTCATATTCATTTACCTAAATTAACTCCCTGGGAGTGCTGAGAAACAGAAATCATTTTGAAAGGCGCACTCATGCCTCATTAAAGAAAAACACAAACACCTAATTGGCGAAAAGGTTTAAAATCAGAACCTGCCTCTTTTTGTTGTTTACAAAGGTCAGAAGACAGAACAGGCCAAAAGAATATTTTTGGTTTATTTTCTGAAAAAGTACATGTTAGAAATGCTTGAGATATAAGTGTGTAACAAAACTAGGTTGAAAACTGCACTGTTAAGGAAAATGCTGTTTTCTTATGCTTTTGAGGAAAACACCACTACTAATTATCTGAGGACTTACACTGCTTGACAGGCTTTTGGTAGCTTCAAGAAATTTCTCCACTATGGAGAAGGAATATGTAACTATTTTTCTAATTATACATCTGAATGCATTGAATACACATGCACATGATAAATGGTTTGGGTTTCACAATTTTTCAAAGATCCAGGTGGCATAGGAAATACATGCCTTTTAAAAATTCCTCTTTAAAAAAAAAAAAAGAACATTCTTAGACTTGCATAACAAGTGTAGCTTCATATGGATGCTTCTTTCCACGAAATGAGAAAGGAATACTGATGGTTTAGTTTGCTCAGCTCAACTTTTGAAATGGTAATTGTTTGGAATGGCTCCTCCAAGTTCATAGTGGCCAGATGACTTCAGTATCAATTCTTACAATATATTTGTGAAAATATATATCCCTCAAAATAGATTTCACTTTGAAATGTCCTTCTTTGAATACCTTCATTTTCTCTAGATTTTCCTCTATCAACTGCCTGCTGTTTTATGATTTTTAAAGATTTAGAAATCATTTAACGTCTTTATTTTTAGAAATACATTATTTTTACATGTCACAATGTAAAATAAGCATTTTTGTGAATTCTGTCACTATCTATGAATTTATAATATTTCAATCTTTTCTTTCCAAAGTAAATATTCTATAGTCTCTATACTAACACAATTAAGTAATTCTCGGGGCTTATTAAATTTTCAACATTATTCTTTCTTAGACCCAAGAATGCAACAAAAGCCTGCTTTTGGAAAATGTGTGACACTCTCATGTGCTTATCATAAAAACAGTCAAGCTGTCACTTAGAAGAAGCAATTCTTTGGAGAGAAGAATTTTAATATGTTTATGATATTCAAAAGCTTACATGATTTAATTTCCATAATGGAATGAGAACTGCTGTTACTGACTTTTACAGGCACGACTTTTAAGAGAAGCAGCTATAGTTAGCTAAAAGATCATTTAAAATACAGAATTTAAGATTCAAAATGTTTGGTACAATTTAAGTTTTTCCTCATCATTATGGATAGTACCACATCCTGGAGTCAAACTATAAATTTCTCGATTAAAAGGTATACGTTTTCTTTAAAATATTAACATCCAGTGCACTCTGAAATCTTCATTTTTACTTAAAACTAAAAGGTTGAGATTCTATTCTTAGGTGAACATTCTGCACTATTTTTAGTAGGTCACCTGGGGCTAAATGAAGTCTGCCGTTCACAGTGTGTGTTTCCTGAGAGAAAATCGTGAGAATACAGGGGGCTGAAATGGCCCAGAGCTTTCTTCCAAAACTGGTTCTTTTGCTCCTTGAGTTCCCATCCACTTCAAAGGGGAGACACAGGGGAGGCTCCAATGCACTGGATTCTTACAAGCTCTTAGAAATTGTGTTTTTAAGGTTATAAGGTTAGGTCTTTATTACCCTTTGCCACCTAATAGCTATGATGATTAAAGGGGCAGGTTTTTCCTTTACTCTTCTTAAATGTATGTTTTTACAATTCCACCCTGCACAACAGTTCCCACAATGCCTGGGCCAGCAGGATGGAGTATGATATAGAAACTGTCGTGCACATTTTTGGACAAGTACTAGAAATTCAAATGCAATTTCAAATCTCTTGCCATATTTTTACTGCTATAAGCTGCTTCAGTATAACTCTGGGGCAGTGTGACCTTTTCAGCTGATCACGGGCTAGCTTTGGGCAAAGATGTTTGAAAACATGTGTCACAGAAGGATAGCTGTAGTCAGTAAGTTTGCATTCTGCTATATGCTTCTAAGAGCCCTGAGGGCAGGTGTGCTGGTGTGGGATCTGGATTTCAGAAGCCAGAAGCCGTGAGCCTGATGTAAAGGACAGAAAACAAGAAAGTAATCACTCAATTGTCACAACCACAACCGTGGAAGAGCTGGGGACAGACCCTTAACAAGTTCAGAGAGGCTGGGATGCCCTCTCATTCGGCTTCTCAGAGGATAATTTACCAAGGATCTAATACCATAATGTTTGTACTTTAAGTTTTCTTTATAAACACTGCTGAGAAATGAACCCAAATAAAAGTTGAGCTCTCATCTGTTTAAAATTCTAAAGAATGCTGAAAGAATTCCAGTTTAGAACTGCTGCATTTTTCTCGAGCAAACTTATGAAAATTTTGCAAAAGCAAAAACTCAAGCTATGGTCACTTCAACCATGGGTACTAACAGAAAAGCTCATGATCAACCAGTGCAGTGAGTTTTAAAATTCAATTTCTAGGCCCCAGCAAAAATGTCTTTGTGTTTTGTTCCCTATCAGAGGAAACACAGAACTCAGGTTTCCAGGGGAGACTGCTAGCACATCTTGCCCTAACTGCTCTGGATTCAATATATCTCAAGCATTTATAGTTATGACAAAGCATAATGCTGTCACAATGAAGAAAGTGTTAAACATTCTTATGGCCCATCTTTTCATCCGCATCTTGCTTTAGAAAAATGTTCCTGCTCTTCAAGTGACCGAATCAGAACAATGTTAAACAATATATGTATTAAAAAAGAATGGTTCCTGATCCAAAAAGCTCTCAAGGAGAAAACTCTCCTAATTTATCTCTTGTTCAAGACAGTCACATACAATATTAAGCTGTGAGGCATTCAGTAAGGCTTGACTATGCACAAACATCCCTTGGAACATTTCCTACTCAGTGAAGCGATGTCCCTTCTTTGAAAACTCTAACCCTAAATGTGGCCTGACTGTCACATGAACTCAAAACATGAGTCAGAAAGCAAAGGTAGCTAAAATTCCCCTAATCTGGGTCTTTTGGGTATCAGAGCCAGAGGAGCACTCACCACAAATAAGGCAGTGACGGTCCGAAATATAAAGTACTACAGAGAGAAAGGCAAGAGGAAGAGTGAAGCTGTTCTCAATGCCCGAGTCAGGCCGGCTCTGCGGACAGCGGGAGCGTGCGCGAGGCTCTGGAAACGAGCACAGCCCGGGGGGTGGAGCCAAAGGTGTTTTATAGAGTAAATATTTCTCTCTAAAAAACAAAGAGATTCTTCCAGATGCTACACGGACGGTGTATCCCGTAAAAACATAAAACACTAAGTAACAGTTTCAAGCCATCTATAGCTGGTGAGAGAATAGCCCGTCTTGAATGCCAGGTAGGGAGAGCGCGTTAGAGCCAGAGCCAGGGGACCCGCTAGGGCCGTGGAACTGCAGCCACCAGCCACGCTCCGGCTCTTTCCGAAAGGTCACTGAAGAAAGGAAGGAAGGGAGAAAGAAGAAAGAGCACGCACACAGCTTAAGCAACCTGTTACTGGTTATGTAATGGCGGTAATATATATAGAAGCGCTGGGGGATAGATAAGGTGGATACTTCGAAAACAAGGCAGTGCATTGTAGAAAAAGTACAGTGTCCTAGGTGGGGAAAACTTAAATGGCATTCCTGTCTCTAGTCAGAGAACTGCTCTCCAAACCAAACCAGGGAACAGTTTCCGACCAACGCCTAAAATCAAAAACAAAACAACGACGACGAAAAGGAAATACATTTTAAACCAGGAAATAAAGGTTTTCTCTATTCGTTTTTGGACAATTTTACCTATTTGAGGTACATTGCCTAAGTCTATACCAAGTAAGAAAGAGCTTATAGGATATTTTTTCAAAAGAAACAATAAAGCATATTATACAGGTTAAAACGGACTCAGAATGAGTCAATTCAGCTTTTTGCAGAGTAAATGGAATGTGTGCTTTAAAAAATAGGTTTCTTAAAAGATACTAGAGTTTTTCCCCCCTTTTGTTATGTGTATAAAACTTCATCTAGACAATGAACCTTTTACTATTGACAAATTTACTATTTTTGACCAGAAGAGAAACTCTGAGGATATAGGCTCAACTCTCTAACTTGGGGAGCCTGTTCTGGTGGGTAAAAAACCTTCAGTCAACAGATGCCTGTTATTGATGGGTCACCTTGAGTATCTAAAATTCAATGATTCTCGTCGTTTACAGAAAGTAACACTTTAAGAGATCAAGAATCACACACACATTCACTCGCACATGCTCACTCCAAAGTACCAAATCAGGCTCGGCAGCTGCTGAGATTACATCAGAATCAGCTGTGCCTGGATTGCTCACTTTACACTGGCAGCATTCAAGGTTAGAAAAATGAAATGGCAGCATGATTGGTCAGCAGCTTCTCTTCTGGAATTTTTCCAGGTTTTTGAAACAGACAGACAGACAAACACACAATGCATGAACATAAAGCTGCAATCACTCTTGCATTGATTTCAAACAGTAAACTAGGCCGTTTCCTTGGAGAAGCAGAGCCTGTCCAGAAGACGGCAGCTAGAAGGTCTCCAGCCAGTGATCTTCAACAGCTCTGCAGGGCTTACTCAGGGGGACCCATCAGCCACCAACGGTGTTCTCCAGGGGATCCGCTCAAGGCAGCGGCTGGGAGCTCAGGCTGTATTCATCTCTGAGCTGTTCTGGCTGGGAGGCAGGTGGGAATCCAGGTTCTCCTTGCGCCTTTCCAGGTCATGGAAGTATGGGTGAGACAGGGCGCCGTAGGCAGATATTCTTTTGGCTGGATTAAATGTCAAGCACTTCTGTAATAAAGACAAAATAATTGACTGACATAAAACATGTCTGTTAAAAAATGTGCCCATATAGTTATACATCTTCACTGCCATGAGCTATGTGCATCTATGATGAGACAGTACTCATCTGATATATGTGCTTAATCTATAAACTGCCCCTCAGGAAAAGGTGACACCCTTTGGGTTGCCTGTGGACTGTTACTACCCAGAATTTCTCTGCAACCCACTCTAGGTCCTTTAAAAGATATTATTATTATTATTGTATGAATATAACTTTATTTAGGTAGTGATTTTTTTCTAATGCCATCAAACTTAATGCTATAGTCCGAGACTTCACCCTAACTTTGAATGCTTCCCCAAGATTTGTTAGTGTATAGGGAATGGCAGGGTACTGTTCAGGTGGAAAGGGTAATTACTGAACTATTATCCAAACCAGAACAGTTTCTGACAAATTCCTGAAATCAAAAACAAAAAACAAAATAACAAACACATTTCAAGCCAGGAAATAAAGGCTTTCTTTCTTAAGGAGGAAGTAAGTCAGGGATAAAACCTAGATCCTAATTATCCCCATGTACTAGCGAGCCATGCCCCCCTACCCCAGGGCTGTCCCACTAGAGCGGGGATGCCTTCTTTCCTCGGGCTAGCAGCATCCCTATGAGGAATCCACTGATTCAAGTCCAGCCGCTCAGCTCTATTCCAGGCTGTCAACTCTATTCCAGGCAGCAATGTCCATTCCCAAACCATCGATTCGTAATCAATTAGCCAAAAAGTTTCCCGAACCTCAGCTCCATTTCCAACCCAACCCAACCCCAGGCAATCTTCTTTAAATCACCCTCCTCTCCTTCCACCAACACCTCCGGAGTGCCTAGCAGGTGGCAGGCACTGCCCTGGGAGTTCACAAGTAGCAGGGAAGCTATGCCAGCTTTCCCATCCTCATGATGTAGGGTCCACTGAAGTGAGCTGGGTATCGGAACATGTCTATGAATTTGAGTCTTCTATGTAATCTAAGGACTATGCAGACCACTATTATCATGGCTATGCAGACCACGTCCACTTAATCTGGGTTTCTGCTCTTAAGGAGCTCAGCTGAATGCCACTGACCTAGAAAAACATGTACGAACAGAAAATTCTACATATAATTTCAGGCGAACTTTTGGGTCCCCTGAAATCTTTTTTATCCCGAGCTCCCTACCAGTCCATGGCTGCTAGCCTCCTCATAGCATCTTCTGAAAATCAAAGAGCGGAAGGACAAGGAGAGGAAGGAGCTTGTTCATTGAATGGTTCTACTGTCTCTAATAGCAATAAACATCTTGAGAAAAGCTTTATAAGGAAGGGCTGAATTCCAGAAGGACAGGAAAGCAGGGCAAAATTCTTGAGCCTGAGTTCTCTCTTCCCAGAGTCTAAGAAGGAGAAAGTTAGGTAGTGGCACTAGAAAAGGAAGCAGCCAGTTTAATCCCCAGAACATAGAAAAGAAATAAAAAAGTTGTGGGAATATATTCAAGATACAGAGAAATGTCCCTTGAGGATTATCTGGGAGGAAGCCCTGTCCCCACAGTTATACTGATGGCTTAGAGCTGGAAAGAGGGTAGACAGGGGAAGAAATCCTTAGCCTAATGTGGGGGTGTGTGAGAATCTCAAGTCAGAAGTCTTAATGCATTATGTCCTATAGAAATACTGTGGCTAAGATCTCTTACTGCTCTACTCCAAAGGAGCAACTGGCTGGCTTGAGGATTAAAAAAATCTTAAGTAATAATATTGTTTCTGCAAGAAAATGTAATTTACTTCCTCAAAATACTGACTTATAAAGTGGGCTTTTGGAATTACAACTTACTCAAGAGTTGAGTACTACAATGGATCTGAACATTTTTCAGCATATATTCCCTTTCTTCCCTTCCCTCCCTCCATGATAGGAGTATTCTTTCCTCTACTAAGGCCGAGTAACTAGCTTTGGCCAGTGGAAAGTGGACAGAAGTAGCAGGGTGACCCTTCCAAGCATAGGCCTTCTGGGGCATCCCATGTTTCTGCTTGTCCTTCTGGGAACATCCTCCTTCTACCATGAGAAAAATATGCTCTGGGGAGCTGAAGCCTCTCTGGCCTGGGTCCCAGAATAAGACACATGGAAAAGACCTGTACTTGACCTGAAGGCAGGAGGAGAGCTGTCTCCGCCAATTTGCAAGAAAAAAATGCTCACTGTTACATGCAAGTGAGGTTTTTTCGGTTATTTGTTATGCAGCAAAAGCAGACTAAATAAAATGACCAAAAAAAAAAAAAAAAAAGTGTCTCAGACTCTGAAAACAGCAGGAACTCTAACATATTTTTCAGCAAAAGCGTCATATTTGGAATAAGTATTCAGCCTCCCAAGTTAACCATGACCAAGGGGACAAAACTCATAAAGATGTGTAGGTTTTAGTTGTTGAAAATAATTCTTCTCCTGAGTTGTCTTATATACAGGGGTGGACAAAAGTAGGTTTACAGTTGTTTGTATGGAAAAAGACATGCAGGTTATGATGATTTCAATAGCTTTATAACTCAAAAGAATGTCACAACTGTAAACCTATTTTCGCTTGCCCCGTACGTATGTAAGAGCATTTATAAATGTTGATGTATATATGTCCATACATATAGGACTGAGGCATTATATAAAGTCAACCCTTTTTTTTCCAGATAAAAATGAAGAATAACTCTTAATGTGCTAAACTTTGCAAAATTAACTGTTTCTTAAATAACACAAACTTTCTGAAACAGTCTTCACTTTTCTTCCATAGTAAGTGATTTTCAATAGAGGCAACAGGTACTGTCGGGGGCTCAGCTGCCTATTTTGCACCAAGTGGTCCATCTTCTGCTTTCCAGTTCTAGCCTGGGTCCCTCGAGCAGCTCCTGAGGGTTCTGAGCTGTGTGGTTTCGGGCTGTCCTTTCTCTGAATGCCTGTGGATATGACGCTTTATGCTTAAGCTTCCCCTAGTCCTGATGTTACTGGCTCTGTGTCTTACTCCTCAACTCGCTTCTTCTGTCTCTCTTTGGTACGTTTCTTTGTTCCTTTCCTTTGTCTCTGCTACTTTTCCAGTGTAGCACGAGCATGTTGTCTGACTTTGAAAACCACCACCGCTAGTGGGGCACCCTAAATGAGCAGGTGACATCGTCTGTCATTCAACTTTCCTGCTGAGAAGGAAAGCCTATGGTGGCCAAATTTTATACCACACGATCCCTACCCCTTCCCAGCACAGCTGCCTGGACCAGCAGCTTGTCAAAAAGGTAAGGTGTGCCAGTCAGGTTCTGCCTTTTAGGAAATACTGATGGGGCAAATGTTAGCAGTGGGGGTTAGCACTGAAAGAACCCATGACTTAGTTGAAGTTCTGACAGTCAAGGGACCAGTTAAAGTTAAGGGGAGTAGGCAGTACAACTGGAAAGCAGCAAAGAGGTGAAAAACGGCACTGTTGCTAAGAGCAGGTGATGCATAAGACAGGGACAGAGCACTTAGGCTCTGAATGGCTTTCCATTTCCAGGCCACATGAAACAGTCCATCAAACCCTCTTTTCTTAAGGTAATGCAAGTACATGTCTGTGCTATTTGAAATCAAGGAAAAATGTTCCTAAGTGGCAGGTGAGTCAGCAAATGTGTGTATGTATTGTGAGCCTTTATCTAGGTAAATATTCTGCCTTCTAATTAATTTATATCAAAGGATGTAGGCCTTCGTGAGTGTCTTAGAAATGAACAGTGGGGAGGAAATATAGATGTCCTTATTCATAACTTGGAAGTGGAGAGAACCATTACCTAAACATCAGAAAAGCAGCCACCATCAGGGGAAGGGGGAGTGGAGCTTCACTTGGAAAACCCATGGCTCTGCAAACATGCCAATCACTGGCCGTGTCCACACAGAGCTGAAGCGCAACATTTCTACTAAGACTATAGACTCTGAGATCTATATTTGAAATTCCGAATACACTGACAGATTGGGAGCACTGGCTCCTGCCAGTCTAGGAGTACTTTCATGGTCAGAGAGCAAAGGTTGTTAATTTAGTGGTGAAAGATATACTCATTACTTATTGGGTTCCAAACACCAAGAGCAGCCAAGTAGGTACACTCCCGTACCTATTGTGTTCTGGCCACCAAGTACAGGGAATTATGTAAAAGGTCATTATTACAATTTGAGTCTCAAATAGGACACCAACATCCTTATATTCAGTGATGTATTTTATATGTGCATGACACATTCAATACTTATTACAAGCATATGTCTAGATGAGTAGAGAGGCTTCAAAAGCTACAGTGAAATGAACATTCAAAGATGAAGAACTGAATGAATGTGTATCAGACTCTTTCTGTAGGAACTGAAAACATTCCAGAATCAAAAGTCACCAGCTGCTTCAGGTGTGGAAATGAGAGCTGCAGAGATTGCGGCCCATGCCTTGTGAGGTTGTAGCCTGTGATGCTGAACTGATGCTGTCCCCACCACCCAGAGAGGACAGGGCAAGTCTCTCATCAGCACAATGCTGATAACTCTGCATCGCCTGAACTTACCAGAAGTAGGTCTTTGCCTTGTTCATCAATATCTGTTACAAAATTCTCAATAGGTTGGGGAGTTTTTGAGTGAAAAGCCTGCCTGGGAAGGGCAACATCTCTAGGCCAGTCTTCTTCTCCTGGGAGTCCAATTACGCTACAAAAGAATCACACGTGAACATAAGCATTAGCTGCTATGCAAAAGATATTTTTCCACCAAATTCTATTTTTAAAAAAATATTTTTATTGATTTCAGAGAGAGGAAGGGAGAGGGAGAGAGAGATAAAAACATCTATAATGAGAGAGTCATTGATCAGCTGCCTCGTGCATGCCCTGCCCTGGGGATTGAGCCTGAAACCCAGGAATGTGCCCTGACTGGGAATCAAACCTCGATCTCCTGGATCCTAGGTCGATGCTCAATGGCTGAGCCATGCCAGCCGGGCTCCCACCAAATTCTAGATGAAGGTAAAGTCTAAGGGACAGACATGGTGGACACAGAGCCCCAGGAGCCTCTCACTTGAATAACTGGCAGGATTCTCATTTCTCTCTGGCCTCAATACGGTAATCAAAGGGTAGAGGGTAATCTCGCAGGAGAATTGTCAAATTCACTCGGAAGAGATAAGAGATTACTCTGGAAGCAGATAGTAAATGGAAGCGATAATGAAGAAATGGAAAATGTTATATTACCAATAAGCCCTGACATACTGACAGAGCAGGACCTATATATTCAAAGTAGACCCACATGGGCATAGAATATTTTCCTTTATGCCCAAGAGTGCTTTTGGTGTTCTGATCAAACACTTGGGTATTGACATGCTTTTATGATGCTCATGTAACATGATTTCTTAACACATAAGTTTGGTTGCACTCTTGGTTAAAGAGTAATTCCCCAAAGAGTAGCTATATACATTAGAATCAGACAAAAAAAA